TTTTTTTTTCCTTGGCAGTCTAATATATATATATATATATATCGTTTTTCTGGTATATTTAACGGTTGCATTTGCTAAATCATCTTTTTTATTTGTTTATATGTATAATCTACAATCTTCTCCACTTCCATTTATCCATGAACTATAGCCTACCACTCATCAGAGAAATCAGGTGATTCTGGAACGTTCCTGAAAATTATATATATCATCTACATATGGTCTATGAGATAAGTCTAATGACAATCGTCTTGATTTCGGGCTGCGTCGACAGCGCTTTTGGCTTATATGTTCATCAGTTCAGCTCGATCATGTGCCATAATGCTCGTTCTCACGAATTCTCTGTCCACTGAGAAGTTCTCTTGATCGTAGTGAAATATCAGAAGCTACTGCAATGTCGCAACACACTGGAGCATGTCTATGGACCCATTGTTTTTTGGCATATTGTCACCGTGCTTCTTTGTATAATGATATACGATTTAATCATCGATATGTAAATTTACAACATTAATGCAAAATATTGAAACGTTTAATTTTGTTATCTAGTGCAGTCGTAATCTGTCACAAAATATAGAATCAAAGGTTGCGCAGTGCTTAAAAGTTTTTCACTCTGTTAATATTATTGCATTACACAAATAGTCACTAACATAATATTAATCGTTAAATATTTGCAACAGTTATCCGTCTTTCATTTGGGCAATACGTCCTCTATGATACACGGTGCAGTATAATTGCTTCAAACATTTATATAGTATGGCACTCTTTTGACAAATGCGGTTAGTTTTTATAATCTAGTAAAACAATTATTGTAACTTAAAATTGACCATTTTGAATACATTTATGCCAAAGATTTTCGTAAAGGAATATATTTTAGTAAATGGCTCAATTCTAATCTCGATCATCACGTAAGAATAAATGTTATTCTGATGATGATGCAAAAACCAATAATGCAGAAACCAAGGTTTTTCTCCCGTCGATATAATCATATTTACCAATGTAAGTATTTAAAATACAATATTGTTCAATAAAAAAAAACTCAGAACTAGATTAGTCATTTTCTATAATTTCAAACTCTAATGATTTTTGAAAATCAGATTCGTATTTAGCGTCCAAAAACTACAGAAAATGACTAATCTTGTATATAATAATCCGATAAATATCTTTTACACGAATGACATAGTCACTAGAGTGACATGTCACTAGAGTTAAATAATAAATATAGTGTCATTTGAGTTTTATTTTTTAATTTGATGCATTAGCTTTACCTTCGCAAACCTCATCTTCGCCAATAATCTTCTTTTTAGCATCTTCGCGCCATTTCTGTAAAAGTCACCCATGATCTTTTCGTTCGATATATCACAGTTCGATCATCAGAGAGTTCAACAGATTGCGTGTTTCGGATGCTTGCAAACTTTTGAGTTTGGCGTCATTACCGAGTTGTATTATATAACGAGTATCTGTGTGGTATCCGAGTCGTTCTACGGGGTAGCAGAAGAGTACAAATCGGTTTGCGAGAAATACAGTAAGTACAAAGAGGAGAACAAAGAGAGAAAAGAGAGTGACAGGGAACGCTCAAGAAAGTCGAAAAAGAGAGGAATTCCATTGGGAAGAGAACGTCCGGCGCAGTGAAGAATTCTCTCCCGCTGCTCGCTTTTCCCATGCGACGATAAGACAGCGTAATAAATATTCTCCTCTGCAGATCTGCTACCGGCGATCTCGCGCGCGAGATAGACGCGGAGTTTGGAGAAATAAAGCCGACCCCGACGGTGGCGCGACGCAGATGACCCGAATTGATTTCGTATCGCGGCGCCTTCCGCGCCTTGGTGGCCCTCACCGTTGCTTAAAAGTCAAGCGACGAACATACGTGCCCAGTTGTATCATTTGGAGATTGTGGAAATTCAATTACACGCTCTTCTTTCTCCTCTTTTTGTTTTCAAACCTCGTTCTACTGTCTCGTTAGTTGATTTCACGGGACGACAAAGCGGAAGGAACAGGGAAATACCGGCCTGACGATAAGCTCGACGATAAGTAGAGGAATTCGGGAAAATTTCTAAATGGAATTTCTGATAAAGACGGAAGCGGGCGCAATGCAGACGGTATAACCTAGGGCAAGTACGCCCCGGCCGAAGAGCGAAATCATACTTTTCGGTATTGCTAAAACTATTTCAAGAACGTGGTGTAGAGTAACGGCTCTGCACTTTTTAAACAATTTCAATAATCTGAAAAAGTGACCTAGGAAAAGAATCTCTCTCTCTCTCTCTCTCTCTCTCTCTCTCTCTCTCTCTCCCTCTCTCTGTACAAATAGTTTTAAAATCATTTTTTAATTGTAAAAACTTTTTTACATAAACAAATTTTTTGAGAACCTCAATTTTAATATGAGTATTAAAATTCTCGTTGGCAATATGAAATTTCATCCTTCGTTCTGGGTCTTCACAATTTGGATCTTCAAACTTCAGTTCAAATTTTTATATTATTCCGAATCATATAAAATCTACAAAAAATTCTTTCTCGTGAAAGCTTTAACGAGTTTTTATTCTATAGAAGTTGAATTGTATTTCACTTAATTTTTTTTTTTACAGATTTAACCTACTAAAATTCACAATTAAAAAATCGACTGTGCACTCAAAAAAATTTCTGATTGAAAGACAAAAAAGATTTTGGTCATATCAATCAGAATTCTAGTCAGATATCCAATTATGATGACTGGAATTTTGATTGATACGATCAGAACCTTTTGGTTCGTCCATCTTCAATCAGAAATTTGTGTCAGTGTGTCTTTGAAGTTCAACATTGCCGGTGAAGGGTTAATATAAAAATGTTATCAGTAATTAAACATTTTCCTTTATCAATATTTAAATTTCAAAAATAAAAGTTTTTATTCCATTTTGTCTTTTATAAAATTGATAAAACTGTTATGCGGATCTATTATTATTAATGAGGCCTGGACTGTTATTTGTTAGTGGTCAGTATCCTTATCCTTGTGCAATAGTGTAATAAATTAAGCCGTGAATACGAATAATCCTGATAATGCGTTGTTGTACATTATTGATATTACGACAATGAGTTTCGTGCGTGGGAAATACCGCCATCGGCAAATGGGTTGCTTCGAGTTCGTATAATCCCGCGTATTATGAGAGCAGTGCATATTATAGTGCAGAATTTGCGGCTATTTTCTGATCTAAAGCGCTGTTTAATACGAATTGACTTTACTACTGCATTGATTACAAACTTTAGTCGATACACACCGCAGTAGTACAGTTCATATTAATGTACATTACATAGATCTAGTAGATAAGTGAAAATTAATAGAGCGTACGT